CTAAAGTCATACACTATTTATCATGTTCATATGTTACAGATTTGAGGCAAGTGGTTGCCAATCTGTTGACAAAGGTAAATATTTGCACACAAGCCTTCGATGAAGCGTTTCGGCATGGCACCAAGCATGTAGGTGCAAACATTCTGATCTTTTATGCCTATTATGCTATCTATCAATGTTTTATACATAAACTTAATAATTATTCTGGTAATTATGATTTAATCTCCAGTTATCGTCACATGGTCTATGGACGTATACTTATGGAATTCCATGCATGTTACTTAAATAAAAGTATACTTTCTAAGTTTTACAAGAAATGGGAGAAATTTAAAATTTACCCGATTGATAATAATAAAATCAACATAAATTTAGGCTTTTGAATAACTAACTTTCTTTTTATATTTTCCTGCCTGACTAATCCTAATAAATTAATTAGTTTAAGCAAACAAATTATGTATTAATAGAGTAATAATATCTTAAGAGGCCAGAAGATTGAGAACAACAGGCAGTGGCTTAGTTCCTACCCCTGACGGCCAAAAAGTTAAGTCCTGTTTTGAAGACGTCATCTCAACGTATTCATTAATATTTATTTTAATAATTTGATGTGAAATGTACTTAAATTGGAATAAAATTAATTTTGCCCTTGTTAAACAAAAAAAAAAAAAAAATCGCCCAATAAACCATTCCCGTACAGCTTTTTAACCAAGATAATTCTCGATTCTAACAAACTTACAACGTTAAACTGGAAAGAATTTGAATTCACGCGCTTACTTAAACATGTTTCGTTAAAGGATAATCCTTGGAGGTGAGTTTGTCATCATATTTAAATACATATACATATATATACAGTACCTGTACATTTTCATTCATCTGATTCATTCTTTATGATTATAGAATAAATTTCATTTGAATGGCAGATTTCCGTTTGTCAGATGGACGAGCGTGAATTAAGTGGTTTTTAACTCATTTCATTTTTTACCCCGTGATTAACCCTCTGGTTTCGGTTGGCATGACACTCACGTCGTCGTAATATGACGTATTTAGTTACAAATCAGAGATAAATAAGAGATAGAAGACACCAAAATTGCTATAAAAATCAGGGTATTTTCTGGTATTATGTAGAAAGCTCGACAGCAAAAATATAGCGTTTTGATACCTTTCCTGCACAATTTTGGAATTTTCCCCAAACCGAATATTCCAAAAAGCTGATTTTTCGTTGTTTTTTTTAATCAGAACCTTGTAACCTGGTTGAGATTATGCGAATTTATGTATGTACACAGGTAGTTGCTATCATATCCAATTATGAAATCAACATCGTACCTTGGGCGAAATTTTATCAAAAAGGCAATGGCACCGACAAGGTTAATACATAGATTCATGGGATGAAACATGAAATGATGTGAAATAAAACTAATATGAATGAAAATAACGAAATTTGAGTTTAACTAATATCATAAACTCTTCATTCTTAAATCAGAATGACTGGCTTCTGAATTAAAACTAAATATTTCTTACTGAAATTAGTATGAAAGGAAATAACCGAATTTGACTTAAAATCTTCATTCTGATAACAGAATGACTGACTTTTGAAGCGTAAATTTATTTTTTTCAATAGGTGCGATTGTCAAATGCACTTTTTGCGAGAATATCTCCTCCTCGCGAAAGAAATTGACATTTCCCACGACGTTGTTTGTGATTCACCACTAGAATTCCGAGGAAAGGAGTTGTCCTCACTTCCAAGAAGAAGCGAGTCGCCCTGTCCGCTGGAACCTATGGGATTTTTGTCAACCGTGACGGAGGACAAGATTACAGTTCATTGTTTCATTGAGGGAATGCAAGCACCGGTGATACAATGGTGGCAGGGGAAAAATTACACGGATAATGTATTAAAAAGGTTAAAATTTACAAAATTGAACTTTACCACTTTCATATTACTGCTTTTTAACACTAAATATCTCCAGGATACGATGCCCATTTAATAATTGTTTCAAATGGTAGCAACCAACCAATTAAAATTTTCATGATTTCCCATAAAATTGCCATTAACTAGTTATTTTAAAACATAGTTTAAACCAAAAAATTAAATCAACGTTTTTTATTTTTTGCGAGTTTTTTCCAAAATTTATATTAAACCATGCAACCATATACATAATACACATAATTTCCGTTTTTTAGTCAACCAGGAATATCAATTGAGACAGTGATCTTACCTCGCAGAGAAGGACAAACGCATCGCACCAACTATGAAAGCAGGCTCGAGATTCTAGGAAACAGTTCGGCTTACAAGCACACATGGACTTTTTGGTGTACTGCGGAAAATGAGGAGGGCAATGCAATACAGAAAATTACTCTGAGCCCACCGAAAGCACAGGCACGAATTAACATTTATACGAATCGGACGAAGATCATTAGCGAGGAGGCACACCCACCAACATTACCAGACCGCGAAAATGTATCAAAAACGGAGTTTGTCCAGACTCCCCTGTGAAGTTCCGTTTATGGGGGGTTGACTGCAGTGATGGTGGTGATGAGGAAGATGAGACGATCGTCGTCGTCGTTGTGGTGTGTGCGTAATAATTGGGAGGCGAGATGAGACTTGGTTGCACTTTTCTTAGAGAGGTTTTATTTATTACTTGTACAAACAGGCAGAACTCTGCCTCTCCCAATAATATTGGGAGAGGTAACCTGCAGTAGCACAAAATACTTCCTCGACCGTCCTCCACCGTCCCCCGTCTGGTGGCTGCGCTTTCGCTTATATATCCTAGCAATACCTAATTGATACCTATGTGTTGACCGATTATGAACCGGTTGGCCACGCTGAATAGAGATATCTCAGATGAGGTTGTGACGAAGCTGGTTTGCAACATTGTCTCTTGTTTGTAAGAGATGATGGAGGTGAGTGGCATACTAATTAGGGGGTTTGGCATTAATGAAGTTGACCAAACCTGCTCTTTCACACCCCCGATCTTTAATGCGACGGCTCCGTGTCCTGTGGACGAATCGATTAAGCTAATATTGGTAGTGATTTGTATCCTCGTTGGGATTTGCTTGATTTTCCTGGTCTTCTTAACCGGCCTTGTACGATCCACATACGCGAGAACTACAAGTCCTTGCTAAATTTTTGTGTAAATAATAATTTCTCTAATTTCTGCACCTGTGTGTATAAGCAACAGATGTGTATGTATAAGCAACAGATGTGATTGAGCTATTGTTTTATTTTACAGATCGAGGACAATCGTATGTGGAAACTACTGGCTAACCTATTTGCAACTACAATTTCAACCAGGTCATATTGGACAACATTTTTTTATTTCTTCTAATAATATTCAATGTGCTTATTGAGCTTACATATTTACATACATAAACTGATTTTCACCTTCCTCTCAAACGTCTGTTTTACTAATTTGTTAAAGTAATAAAAATTTGACAAGTTCGTTTACAATACTGAAAATGGGGGCATGAGTGCACCGTATTTTTCTTAATTTATTTCCTTCATGGAAATTGTGGCAAAACCTGTGCCATATCTTAACCACCACGTTTGGTGAAAAGTATTCTCCCCTTCAAATTTTCAAGTATCTATGCAAAGAATTCGCGCTTTACAGCTTGCATAGCATGTTTTTTCTGCATAACATATTACAGATTTTATCTCCGGCATCATACGACTAAAGTTTCTTGCCCATCCCTGAAAACAAAGTGTTATTCGGCTCATCACATAGCACGGCAAGCAACATGACGCACTTTTATGCGAACTATTCCGTAATTACAAAGGGCAAACGCATATTTCATCGCCTCATAAGAAACAGGCTCCCACTCCGCAAATTTTTCCGTCCTCTTACCCCCCACATGTAGCATTCTCCTCAAAAATATACTTTGGCTCCTCCCTCTCAAATATGTGTAACCTTCCGTCATCATTACGAGAAGTTTTTCTAATTTTTTCCACCGCCCATAAATTCCAGATTGGTCTAACTGTCCCAAACCCCGGGAGTACAGGGGGTACAAAAAATTTCGTCTTCCTACCCACGGTTTTATAGTATTGAATGGAATCACGGCGTGATTTCGGACCGCGATAGGGTCCAGAAACGACTGAATTGTCTTCCAAGAAGTTTGACTGGTACAATAGCGTAATAGGGGATGCTGAAGATGCAGTTTAATGTGCGGTTAGCGTTAGTAATGGCCAAATCATGGTGGAAGCGATTGTAACAGAGAAGTAAGATGTTAATACGGTTATGTACACAGAGAATGCGTCACAGGTTACAAGGTATTTATCAGAGCAAGATTTTTCTTTAGATACTATTTGGTGTTACACCCAGATGATCTTATTTTGAGGAATTTTGATGATAAGATAATGTTAAACTGTACATGTGTTTAAAAGGTTATAATTTTCAAGTTTGTTGACTTTTATGAGGCATTTGCCAAGCTTTCTCAGCACATTGTGTTAAAAGGCCGTTTTGTTTCTACATATGCCTGACTCGAAGGGACACTTTGTTTATTTATACATAAGTCCTGTAGTTGTTGTTCAAAACACTCAAAATATTTCTGCTCCTGCAATTCTATAAATACATATTTACTTGTAGAAGAATTCATGGATTCTGAGGACATTTTCTTTATTGTAAATCTGACTAGCTTTCGGAATACTTATTCCTTCATCAGGTCTTTACAAATCCGATAAATTAAATGAAATAATGTATGTACATCAATTTTTGTGATTTTGTATATGAGCACATATTAGCAACTAAGTAACTGGACCAAATTTTAAAAAATTTACAAGTGTTGCGCACCAAATAGGGTTGACATTCATTCCTTTGGATGAATTCATGAAGTTGTTTGAGCTTCTGATTAATATAGCTTCTTTAAATTTTGATGATACTTCCTCGGTTCTTTCATGATCATTTTCAGCGAGGTTGCATCAATTTGATGTTGGTTTTCAATGGTGTGGAGGAAAATTGGTGATTTAATGTTTAATCTTCTCACGTCATTTTGGTGTTCTAAAAAACGTTTCTCTATGCATCGCCCACTTTCTCCAATATATTTTTTAGGACAATTCGAGCAAGTAAATTCATATACTCCTGTATTTAATGGTATTGTTTTTTGTTTCATATTACATACCAATGTTGATACTTTTTGTCCAGGATAATATCCAATTTCCCAAGATAGTTTCCTACGTAAGAATTGAGCAATTCTGGTTGTTGGTTTTCCTGCCCATGGTAAAATTACTCGTTTTTGTATTTCACTTGGTTCTTGAGGGTGTGAAATTTTTTCTTTTACGATTTGTAATCTTCTTTGGATCATTTTGTTGGGGTATCCATTTGATTTCAGTGTGTTTGTTACGAATTCAATCTCTTCGTTCACGTGGTCATCATCACATAGAATTATGGCTCTTCGTAGTAACGTGTCACATACGCTTATCTTGTGGGCATTTGGATGGAAAGATTGGTAATCCAAATATTTGTTAGTATGAGTAGGCTTCCTGTGTACATAGTGTCCAATTTTTCCATCTATTTTGTCATATAGCATGGTGTCTAAGAATGCGAGTTTTCCATTTTTCTCTTCTTCCAAGGTAAATTCAATTGCTGGGTTGAAATTGTTTAGCTTATCAAGGATGCTCTTGAGTTTTCTCCCTTTTGCAATGATGAAAGCGTCATCCACAAATCTTCTCCAAAAACGGATGTCGCGATTTTGATGAATAATTTTCATTTCAAGCATTTGTAAAAACAGCTCTGCCACAATGGGTGATATGGGGGAACCCATTGCTGTGCCGCCTTTTTGATGGAAATACATATCTTTGTACTGAAAATATGTGGAAGATAAACAAATTTTTAGTAGTTCCATTATGTCATTCTTTGATAATTTATCCGCAGATTCTTCGTATTTTTGATCTAGTTGTTCCTTGATGTAAATCAAAGTTTCGGGAATTGGTACGGTTGTGAATAAAGATTTGACATCGAACGAGGCTTTCACATCTCCTCTGTGAATTTTGATGTTTTTAACTTGTTTGACAAAATCAAATGAATTTTTGATGGTGTAGTGGTGATCTTTGCTTAATGTTTTCAAGATCTGGGATAGATATTTTGCAATCTTATATGTTGGTGATTTTCGGAAGTCAACACTGGGTCTTAGGGGGCAATTATCTTTGTGTATTTTGGGGGCACCGTAAATGATTGGGGATCTGGCATCTTTCACGATAAATCGACCATATTCTGCTTTCGTTATTTTATTTTGTAGTAGTAACTTGTTGCAGACAATTTCTACTTTTTTTGAATATGTTTCTGTTGGGTCATGAGGAAGTTGGGTATATGGTCCATCTGAAATCATTTCTTCCATTTTTGCATGATAATCTGTCTTGTTCATGACTACAATACAATTGCCTTTGTCCGCTTTTCCAATAACTATGTCTTTGTTTTGTTTGATTGACTTGATTGCTTCAATTGTTTGTGAATCCCACTTGTTTCGGTAATTATCCCTGGTCAAACTGTTTTTCATTATGTGAGAGATACCGGCCCGGACATTGTTCTTTAAGTATTCTGGTAAAACTTCTTCCTTCTCGTTCATCATTCTCATTTCTACTGCTGCAGCTGTTTCAATCAAAGGTAATCTAAGGTCTCTGGTTTTCATTGAAAAATTCAATCCTAATTTCAGTAGATTCATTTCCGAATCACTAAATTTGTGAGTAGACCGATTTTCAATTGCTGTGGTACTGGATTGTTGAATTTGGATTGATTTTGTAGGTGTGTTTGTTCCGTTATTTTGAACAAGTTGATTTAATTTCGTTATATGTTTGGCTTTCAGGTTGATATTCGTAATTTCTTTGGTCTTGTTTATCAAATTTCTGATTTCACTCCACAATTCTGGTGTTTTTTCTCTAATTGTGGTATTGGTTTGTTTTATGGTATTGTCAATCTTATGAAGATTTTCATAGTGGATTTTAATCATGGTTTTCATTAGCTTTTCTTCCATTTCTTTCACAGTAGTGCGAATCTTTTCGTGGTCTCCAAATTGTGTAAGGAGTCTTTTCATTTGAAATCCTTTTGGAGTGATGTTTAGTTTTCGACACCTTGTAAGAAATATGATATGATTTTGAAGAGTTGCTTGTTTCTTGGTCATTTCTTCTAATTTTCGAACTTGTACTACTGCTCCTCCATCTAGCTTTTGTAGTTTTGTTATAAGTGGCTTCCATCCTCTATTATTATTTGTAGAAGAATTCATGGATTCTGAGGACATTTTCTTTATTGTAAATCTGACTAGCTTTCGGAATACTGAGGGTATTCACGCACCCTTGGTAACTACGTAAACAGCGTAAAATCCGTAAACTTACAAACGTTTACAAACAGCTTCCCGTGAATTCACTTTCGCAATTATTTTCGTAAAAATTTATCTGATAATTGAAACAAAATGCCGATCATTTCCAGAAAACGGAAATTAATGGAAGAAATTTGTGGAGCTGCATTTATTGATATAATAAATACCACGAACAGTGAAGGCTGTTCCTATAAAAATTTCGAAATTCAACCCTCCTAAATTCTAATCCTAAATCACACTAAATCTTAGCTGAATATATAACTTCTTAGAAATCGGTATCGGTGCCCCTCCCTTATTGCCCATCTGGTTATTTTTTGTTCATCTTTGACTTCATATTCGTTCATGAGAAGCTATCACCGTTCCGAATTTCAGCTTTTTGAGACAAGTTATGAAAATCGGTATGGGTCACCCCAACGGGTCCCGGATGTGATTTTTTACCAATTCCACTTCATATTCTTCCATTAGGAGCCTTTAGCAGCCTCTATACCAAATTTCAGCTCGATTGGATGATTTTGAAAAATCGGTATGGGTCACCCCTTCGGGTACCTCCAGATGAAAAATTTTCCAATTTCACTTCATATTCTTTCATTAGGAGCCATTAGCAACCTCTATGCCAAATTTCTGTATCGAACAAATTTTTTTCTTCCGCAAATTGAGTTTACAAAATACTTTACAAAATTAAAAGACGCCTGTGAGCTGGGTAAGTTTACAAAAGTTTGTAAACTGATTTTCCTTGACAATTTTTGTAAAAGTTTGTAAACGTTTGTAAGTTTACGGATTTTACGCTGTTTACGTAGTTACGAAGGAGGGCGTGAATTGCCTCACTTATTCCTTCATCAGGTCTTTACAAATCCGATAAATTAAATGAAATAATGTATGTACATCAATTTTTGTGATTTTGTATATGAGCACATATTAGCAACTAAGTAACTGGACCAAATTTTAAAAAATATATACATATTTACGTACTATTCTGCATCAGTCAAAGTTTTAAGATTTGTACCCACTCCTCAGTGTCTTCGGTTGTACATATGTCCATAGATCGGAGTACTCCGGGTTTGGAGTACGTACTCCGGCCTCCGGAGGCCGGAGTCCGCGACTTTTTCTGGAGTACGGAGTACGGGGAGGCCGGAGTACGCGTGGCTGGCCAGAGTACGGAGTACGGGGAGTACGGAGTACGCAAGATTTGCCGGAGGCCGGAGTACGTGGAGTACGGAGTACGCAAAACATCTGATCCCATAGCTTCAGAGCTGAGAATTAATCGAGATTAAGCAATGTATTGGCATTAGAGATTAAAATTAAGATTAAGACTAGACATTTAAACACATTGGTTAATCGCGATCAATTCCCAGCTTTACATAGATTGGAGTACTCCGGGCCTGGAGTACGCGACTTTTGCTGGAGTACGGAGTACACGGAGGCCGGAGTACGCCAATTTTTCCGGAGTACGGAGTACGCGGAGGCCGGAGTACGGGAGATTTCCCGGAGGCCGGAGTACTCGGAGTATGGCTGGCCGGAGTACGAAGTACGCAAAATATCCGATCTATGCATATGTCACGACCATCAAAACTATTTCCGGTTAAACGTTTGATAAACCGAAGCCGACTAGTGTTATTGTTATCAAGTTGAAAGGTCAATTCATCAGTGAGATTGTACTAAATACATAGCACTAACCCTCCCTGACTAGTGACGAGTATGAACTAATAAAGCCTGAAAATGTATAGTTAATTGTTAAGACCATTGCTTGGCTAAGAGACAATCACACGTTTGGAACTATCAGAAAGCTCCTGCTTGGTGACTGGTTTTATTGAGGAATACCCCTTCTCTTAAGGAATAAAAGTCCGAAGTTCAAATCGGATTAAATAGGGAAAGATAATCATGGCTCCACGGGTCGTAATTATCGGCAGGGCTAAATACATAATTGTATTTAGGTATTAAATAGCCAAGACCATTTCATGCCTGGTGTATTAACACGGCGACAACAGTGTAACATCGATCATCTCGGATTTCTTGGAGTGCATTTGAAGTTCGTGTCGAAAATTATACGTTATACTCCTCCACTAAACATATTTAATAAATACGGATACAGTGGTAGTCATTATGCACAACTTTAATTTAATTGTGGCCAATTATCCTTTGTTACCAAATATACAATTTTTATACCTGTGTCCATGAGACATAAAGGTAAACCACTACAATTAAAAATTTACCAACCCACGCAGAAAGATTACCTCGGTTATGGTGATGAGATAAGAGTGGTCATCTAGGCAACTAAATCGTCATTAGGCCAATTTATGTATATATACTTTTCATATCCAGTTGTGTCTCTTTCCGGTACCGGGTATTGGCGGGCAGCAGAAAGATGGGGAAGGATGTGTAGCGCTTAAAAGCCGGCCTAGTGTTGACCTCAACTAATTCATTCGCAATCTAACGGACAACCATGAGGTCTTAAAAATAGGCTGAAATCCACTCCATTCTATTAACCCAACCAACTACCAAAAATTGCGCAAATTTTAAGCAAGCTCAAAATCATTCAACAAATCTTGCACCAATCATTGTTAGATGAATAATTTATTGTAATTAATAAAATTTGTGATGCACTCGATTAGCTAAGTTACCCTGTATATCATATTTACATTTAAAATAAAACTGATAATGGATGAAAATTTCAGAATTTATTTTTATTTGGCAGGTCTCCAGCAAACGAAATCCGAAGAAATAAGTATATTACGTAAATACATACATATGTACATAGGTATCTATATACAAACGCATTTTTTTCCTGGATTGGGTTGTTTAGAATTTTCTACATAAATGCATAACATATTACGGCAATTCTCCCGTATATTTAAATACTCGAAAAGAACAGTAGAGCGTAATTAACTACATATAAATAATTACTAATTCGTGGTTACACTAAATCTACATAGTCTTTCCATCAGATGGAACTTTTAATCTACATGAACTACTTACAATTGGATTTGCTACATATATGTATAACACCTGCCATTATTCCTCTATCGATGTTTTCACCGGCAGCACCCAATCCCTATCAAAGAAGGTCACCGATCGAGTGAACTACATCTCGTAAAACGTTCTCAATAGCCGTTTCCGAACAGACGCATCGCTGGGTGAAAATATCGCAGTAGTAGGGACTTGGACGGCAAGGATTGCTCACATGATCACATTGATTATTACTGCAGCGATCCGGACTTGATGAACCTTATCAAAGAGAATTGAGCAATTAATTAAATAAATAAAATGAAAAAATAAGCAAGTTGTCTAACAATGTCAGTCATCTCATTGTTAGCTTACAATGTAAGGGAACGTCCATATATTACGTCATCATTTTAGTGGGTCTGTGGTTTATGTATATCTTCCTATCTTCCCCATGTTAAAATTCCCTGTCCCTTAATGTATACGTTGAGTGGGTAGGTGCTAAAATTTGGAATTTTTGATGACGCACTATATGGATGGACCCTAAGATGGTTATTTGGTTATCCCAGATCATCTTGACCGCACTAATTTTAATTTGGTCACGCTCAGAAATAAGTGTACCCTTATTTTTGCGTTTTCCTGAATAGGCATGTTTTCGCCCATCACCGAATTAAATACAAAATTCAACCAAAATCTAGATTTTTTAAGACGCTGTCACTTTTCGAATTTTAACCCGATTTCTAAAATTAAAAATAATTTTTGCTCAGAATAAGTCCCCTAACATTATAAAAAATCATTATTTTTTGTAATTATGCAGATTATTTTCATGTCATTTCTGATATTAAAAACGCAATTAACATTAATGTTTTGAAAATTAAAAGTTTTTAAGTCAATGTTTACAATACCTGGGACGTAAGTTTGAGAAAAATTTTCTCTAATTTTTTAAATCGGGCTCAAATTCCCAAAACGACAGCGTTTCAAAAACACAGATTTTAACCGAATTAGTTTTGAAAATTTCGCCACGGGCGGAAATATGCACATTCTAGAAAACGCAAAAATCACGGGTCTGCTTTTTTCTCACCGTGAAGAATTTAAAATTACTCTGGTTACGATCAATGATAACCACCTGACACATCTCCATTATTAGAATGGCATTCATACTTTACGGAAACCAATCTTTTTCTAAATTTATTTTAGAACTAATACCATTACGTTATCGCAGAGGTATTCCGACCAAGGGTTTCAATGGGTTGTTTTTTGGGTTTTAATTGGTTTTAACGGTTTGTAAATTAACAAATCCAATGGATTTTACCATGTTAGGTGGATTTTGTTTGGGTTTTAAAGGGGTGTAGTGACTTTTAAAAACCATGAAAGAATTAACAATGCTTAACATCCATTACAATCCAGTGCTATGTATCATGCAGAACCGATTCAATTTCAAATATGGACAAGAACGGTTTGCATACATATGTTTGGAATTGGATTTAATAGTAACACACACCATTTTTTTAGTGTATTACTTAAAATCTACTAGAACCTAATTAAACCCAAAAAAACTCTGGCGTGTTATTTTTTTGATTAAAACCCTGGGTTTTTCCTAACCCTGGTCATCGCAAACCAAAATATGCATTAGCATAGCAGTCCCTTTTGCTCTGCACCCAAACTTTCGCTTTCTTACAAATAGGGGTCCCAATCCCGGACGATTTTGGAAATCCCGGGAATCGGGATTCCCGGTTTTGGCCGTGAGAAATCCCGGGATTTTTTCCCGAAATTCAAATATCACCTTATAACTTCAAATTAGTCAAATTTGGGTATACAAAAAGGTACATGACTATAAAAGTACAGCGCCTGAGCGTATTTATAATACTTACATATCTCTTTATGTGTTTTCGGGCTCTGTGCATGCATGAATATTATTATAAAGTATGCTATTTTCTGGTCAACTCAAAACAAATATGGTAGCAATACAAATTAGCGATTATATGGTTTTGCGTGCTATTGAAAATGTTAAATCTCGGTGTATTTCGGCGTAGCCCAATTTTCGCCCTCTATCTTTGAGAGGTGATATGTGATATGCAAAAGTTTGACAATTTCATTCCAGAAATCTTAAATAATTAACCAACAAGAATGTTAACCCGAAATGCCCAAATTGACGTACTTATATTATTTGGCCTAAATTGCGAACCATTATTCAAAAACTTCGGTTGGATATGAAGTTTAGCAATTCAAAAATTTCAAGATCAAATATATGAACCACTTCGTGCAAAACGCATTAAATTTAGCTTTAAATTCATCGGCTAAAATTCGAACTCACTTCTAACATAATAGCATTTTTGAGCATAACTGATTTCAGATTTTATGATTATAATCTTGCTTAGTTCAAGTTAAAATCTAACATCGAAATTGGGAATTTGAAGCTCGATCTTGAACTATAAATTTCATTTTGAATTATATAATTTAGATATGTATAAATATATGTACATATGTATACGGGTTAGAAAAATGTGGCTAACCATATTGTTAAACATTTCGATTTTCGAGTCCAGGATCAATTTGTATGGTTACGTCATCGAAACTTTTCTTACCAATCATCATATAACCGAAAATAATGTAAAATTGCTATTAAAATTGTAAATTATAAGTAATTTTCAGCTCTGAATGACGAATTGAAAATCCCGAAATCCCGGGATTTCAGTTCTTCAAATCCCGGGATTTCGGGATCCCGTTTCCCGGGAATTCCCGGGAATAAAATCCCGGGACTGGAACCCCTACTTACAAATAAGTGCAAAGAATCCACTGCAAAAACTCATTTTACCAAAAACTGATCAACTAAAAATGCTAAAGAAAATATTTTTTTACCGGCCGGAGTACAACCACCCAATTCAGCCAGAGTCACCGCGACGATTAGAATTGCGAAAAATTTCATCCTACAGCGAGTTTAAAGCAAGATATACATACATAAGCAATCAATTGAAGAATATCGAATAATTCCGAATCTTGGGATGGGTCTGTATTTATGCACGATTCCTACTTGGTATTTACGTCATGGAAATGAACTCTGCGTCAATCTAGCAACGCAAAATTGAATGTCAGAGCAAGAGAACGTGCTTAATTGAATTCAAATAGAAAAATTACCTCCCACAATTCCACCAAAATTTCGTAATAAATATTTATTAAGTTAAGTAAACCCTCACATAATTAATATATGCGGTTGCTCAAAGATTTTCGAGTTGAGATTAAATAATAAATTGCACATATGTACAATGCGAACAAAATTACTCGTAAATATGTATCATGTGCAAATAAATTAGTGTATTTTTTATTCATGAAGAAAACCTGATTCTCATTAGTGTAGGAGGTATAAATATTTATTAAGTTAGGTAAGATAAAGATTAATATGACTGAAATCTATAAATTAAATAATACTCACGTTCTACCCTGAATTGATTTCAGAATTCAGAATTTTATACATGGGATGATCAGACAGTGATTGCTGTTTGGTTGATTGGGTTGGCTAAGTACAAAAACAATTTAATACATTTCTAAAACTGAGTAATTATGGTTAATTACTACACTCTAAACAAAAATGAGCAAAATTTATCCAAAGTTGTGTAAAATTTGCCCAATGTTGGGCAAATTTTACCTTTTTGTTGTGTCATCCTCTTTTTTACCCAACCTTGGGTAAATTTTACTCATTTTTATTTAGAGTGTACATAATTACTAATTTCTAATTACTTGATTAGCGTGTGTCATATTTAATTATACATATGGAAATATGTACAATTTGACTGCGATAATTGCTAACAATTATCGCAAAAAACTTGTCAGCAGCTACTGACAATTTTTTCAAGCTCATCTTAATAAGCAGCCTAGTGATTTACAATTTTTCTACTACAAAAGTCCATAAATCTCCATTAGTTCAAAGGATTTGGAGTCGAGATTATATTGAATCTTCAGGTCTGCTGATGTCAAAACTTATAGCAAAATTTTCAAAATGATAAAATTCCGAGGCAAGCTTCGCTAGCCGATGGAAATTAACAAATTTTTCCGGTTTAGAAATTTTCCACAGTGGCGAGGTTTGTTGTGATTTTTTAATGTTACCGGACAATTTTTTTAACCCTGCAAACGAATTATTTGAAAATTGTTCAGGAACTCTTATATTGACGAAACCATTATAATTACGCAGCATTAGATAAATTATTAAACACGTGTTTCAGGATCTTTCATAATGTTCAACTTAAACAAAATTATGACGGAATCCGTGAGCGAGAATTTCCATTTTTATCAGGACATTTTTCTCGCGAATGAGAAAAACACAGATTCTCGCTTCTGAATTCCATAAATTCGTTTCAGTACAACATATTTATTTTCATACTAACAGGATTTTTCATAAATAAATTAACTAGCCAACATATCTATCAAGAATGTGATGATAAAATACATTAACAATTTTTTTAAATAGTACATACAAAACGTTAAAGTTGCCAGTAATTATATAGGCAACGAGCGGCAGATATTACGGAATTCTATCCGTGAAAATTATTTATCAACTATTATTTATGAATTTTTACAGCTTCTCGTTTTCTTTTTCTTCATATCTGCAGCCGGTATGCTAAAGTAATGGTTATTTACATATTTGTAATTTGGGAATGATCCCGTACACTTAGCGCTTCGAAACTCCGCTCGCAATTGTATAAACTAATTAGAGAATAATCGCTCGTCGCCGATTTTTAAGGTCGCCGACAAGTCAAAGGTCAGAATTTTCTTAGCACTACAAAATGAGAGCCCAAAAACAAAAGTCCATGGATAATTTTTTTTTGACTTTTTAATATTTTTTATTATAATAGTATGATCAATGCTAAAATTATTCTATAACCGATTATGTACAAAGTTCGTTTATGTGGAAGGGTGTTTACACAATAAACACTACACGATATTGGCCTTATCCAAAATACGTTTAAGTAAATCTATCTAGAACCTATCGCTGTAATTCCTATCGCGTTGCATCTGCATAAAAGTAAGATGCTCCTGTTTTTGCAACTTCCAAATTTTATGATCATATTCCCTCCGTTGTTCCTTCATATTATTCACCAAAGCTAGATTGGTCTTTGTCACAGCTTCAACCTCAGCCTCCAGCTTCTTCCTGTGACCTTGTTGTTCCTTCACCTCTTCCTGCGTCTTCTCTAACTTCCTCTTCGCCTTGGCTGCCTTCAAGTTGGCGCGGTTAATGGACAGATACGTTTCCAAAAGGCGTTCTGACTCTGGAGTGAATTCTTCGCTAAATTTGGGATCCATTTTCGCTCCGCCCAATTTTGATTTGCTTTGATAAATGACGAAAGATTCTCTTATCAGGTCCGAGTGTCGCGAGGTCAGTGCGGAAGGGCGCACACCGGCGGGATTTTCCTTGAGAAATTTTTGCATTTCATCTGTATAGAACGTTGAGGCCGACTGTTTCGCGATGATGAATTGGCTCTCGGCGACGGACTGGTAGACTCTCTTGATTTCTGGGAGGTCATTCCCTTCAAACAAAGGTGCCCAGGAGTGGACGTATTTGATCATTTCGGACCCAGTGACCTCAACGCCACCAATTTTTTTGGTGACGAGATGACCTGGGGACAGCATGAGGGGGACGAAGGCGCCGACATGAGATGCAAATTCAGGATCGAGATTGTCCAGTTTGTCGTGTTGTTTGAATCCCTTGTCAGGTTCGGGCATCAAATAAACGCCGACATCCTGCGGAAAAATTAATTTTTGTTAGATTTAAATATACCTCAAAATTTTTGTGTTCAGTTTCCCAGAATAATTTGCACATTTACTTAAATATGCAACTCAGTTTTATAACGACTTGCATGTATGTATACAAGAACTCGGGTTTTACTAGATTGAGGTTTTTCGGGTTTTTTCTTCTAAAATTCAGTAATTTAAGTTAATTACGTTGTTTGACTGATTTTATTCAATACTTTGCTCCCAGTAAAACTCAATAAATTCAAACAATGCCCGAATAAAATTCCAGTAACACAAACCAAGAAAAACACGGTGGTGCCTCAGAATATAATACCAGGAGTTTTTCTAACCATGAATATTTAAATACCTGCATACCTTGTAGCTTTTGAGCAGTTGGTCATGCGTCAATCTCATTTCCGTCGGCTGATCAGGGTTGGAGTCCAACTTGTCCTTCTTATAGTTCCCCTGCTGTTCGTTAGGTACGTGGTTGTCGTCGTAAAATCCGAACTGGTAGTATTCGAGAAATTGAAAATCTCTGACGAGGAAGAGAAGTTTCTGGTAGGCGCCGTCTCCCAGCTCTCCACTCGCCGCGTTTCCCTCAAATTCCGGGACCGTCAAGGTAGCAAAGCTCGAAAAGAATTGAACAAACTTTAGCACGTCTTCGCCTACGTCGCGGATGACGTTGAAGATGAGGACGGACGAGAGGAGGGTCGCGATGGCGAAAATGATGGCGTTCTCCTGCATCGTGGTGTGGTCGTCGAATGAGCCTTGCGTGTCCATGAGGACAATGGCGACTCGGCGCCCGTTATGCGTCGTCCAAAACGGCTCCGACCAAAGGTCAATTCCAACCGTTATACGGTCAGTTCCGCCTAAGAAATGAGTTTGACTCAAATTAATGACCTCATGGCTTTTACTTAAAATATGCTGGTCATTAATAGTAAATGATTGGTATAATTGCACGGTATTTAATTTAACCGCATGCACCTCTACAGTTTTAATCGTAAAAATTGCTACATCTCCACTCACCCCTCCATTCAAAATTAGCCATATTTTTGGCATTCAAAATCCAGTTATTCCCCTGACTGCCGTCGTGGTTGAGATAGCGAATAAAATTGGAAAGCATGAAACTTTTTCCTGTACGTGTGGGCCCATTGATCGAGTAAACTGCGAAATAATTTTCCCCAATCTTCTCAAAGATGGATTTTGTTGCGTTTGTGTTAATGGAGATCTTGTCCTTGGTCACCTTCAGGATGGAGACCAGCTTTCCACCAGGACCCATTTTAGAACCTAAAATATTACACAAATTTAAACAGCATTTTCTGCATTGGTACACCAAATCAGACAAAAAACTGTTATGAATCGTCAAAAAAATTGTAACACCGTTACAATTTTATGTAGCAAAATTTCTCTCACTAAACTATATTTACCGACATATTTCCGCTCCGACTTGGCCTGCGACTGGAGAGGGAACATAAAAGAGGAAAGTAAAAATAACGACGAATACCCTCACTGCAACCCAAGGTACAAATTTGTAGAAATAGCTTGCTTACGAGCGTGAGAAGGTTTTCCACTGATTCAGCACTTACTTCCACATCACATCTGTCAATTAACATGATTTTGTCGATTTCTTTAATTCTATCTTGTGGGTGTCTTTTCGTTAGGGAAATAATGGTATTTTCCCAGTCTCGAAACCACCAAGCTGAACGCTTAACAATACTAGTTTCTGTATCATGCACCAGCCTGTAGAACATTGATCTTGTATCTTTCCGTTTGATTTGCTGTACAACTTCCCAAGACACTAAACCAAAAGAGTACAAATCTGCGGGGATACCGTAATTCGCAGAATTAGCTTCAGGTGCACGATATATGATATTTCCTATTTCGGGAGTTAGTGTTTTAGTGGCAGTTTCCTCACTATGGATCTGTCGACATAGACCAAAATCTCCCACTTTAACGGGAAATACGAACTCTTCATCTTGACTTAATGAAAACAGTATGTTTTCAGGACGAAAATCTCGATGTATAATGTTATGACCGTGGAGATATTTTAGCCCTTCACACATGTCCTTTACAATTCGATTTCGAACCGGGTGCAGTTCTGGGTTGTCCGTCTCATTATTTATGTTCAACCACTGACGCAACGTCTTACCACAGAGCTCCATTTGGATGCATAAGGACGGAATGTGGGTTCCTCGTTGAGCTCGAAGATAGAAGATTTGAAATTGGTCCAAAATTTTGTAATTGTTTTGAAGGCACGGTATTTTCAGCAAGACGTTGATATCCTCTACAGTGAAGGCTTTGTGAGTTTCTTTCAAGATTTGGACTAAATTGTCGTGTTTCTTGCCCTTCATTAGTTTGTATTCTCGGAGCAGTCGATATTTTTCAGTTTCGTCGTCTGGCGTGTCACCCAGGCCTTCGATGAATATGACCTTCACGGCGGTAACGTTAGCTTGTCCACGGACCTAACATTAAAAACAATGAAATTGTCTATGTAGTTACTACTACTATAATTAAAGAATTCTTTAATTATAGTTGCAAATTCATGAATTTGCAACTTATTATGTATTCAATCATCCTTGAAGATTCGTGAGTAATAGGGAAGATAAATCGACATAAATAATTATTTTATAACCAACTAGTGTATAAGCCCGTCTCCCGTTGGGCGAGAGCTTATTTGATTTTCGTAAAAATTAAGTCGGATTGTTCAAAGTTCTAGCGAATCATTTTTTACAATACATGAATATATGTAGCTAGAAATGTCTGTTGGCGAGGGAAGTGAAACTTTCTCCATCTTTACTTCCGTCACGGAAAATTACCTTCACTTCCGTTGCAGACAAACATTTCCAGCTTATATCATAAAGTATGTACAGGATTTAAAGCATGGATACGAATAAAGTTAATTAACAGTCTTCGCGTCTAATTTGTAATCAATTCCAAAATAAACTTAAAATTACCGCTTTAAAAACGTAACCGAATGACCCAGATCCAAGAAAAGATTCCAACTTGAGAACATCAAACCAGGATGCAAGTGATTCTACGTTTATACCATGGTCCATTTCCATGGTGTCCATTTTATAATTGTGGATATTATTTCAACAGTTTTACGTGCAATTAACATCAAGGAGAGAAATAAGTGAATTAATAATATTTTTATGCGCAATTAATTGAAACCGTTAAGGTAAGCTGAAGTAGTGATAAGATAAGGTAGACATGAAATACGTAAGCGAGAGATAAGTTGCGTAATTTCAGATAGGAGAGACAGCGTAGTTGGGTAGCGGCTATGTACATAGTGTCATTGAACGCACGTAATGTATATGACTTTTGTGGTTCTGTTATAATTTATAACGGCAAATAAATACTTGCTGATAACCAGGCGCCAGTGCAGTGGTGTCAATCAATTCATGACTCCGAATTTCGCAATGCACAAGTTGTAAGAGGTAAAATATTTATGTTAAACATTTCATCAATTTAACCTACTCGACAATTATTATTCCGCAAGTATAAAATACGAGAATATGTAGGACACTAGGACACCAGATAGAGGATCCATTCATATTTCCGTGTAAAACTCATATTTGGCGGCGTAGCGTGCCGCCAAACTTAAAAATTTGCATTTTCGACCAATTTCAAACCCCCATAAGTTTTGCCGTTTATGTCAGATTTTCAAAATTTTATGCTTAGAATGATCACAAAAGTCTAAATTTTTGAGAAATAAATTAAAATACAAAATTTCTAAGTTTTGAACTATTTTCAGCATTTTTTCGACGAACCCCCATTTTTATGAAAATTACGAAATTTTTCGAAAAGTTAAAAGCAATAAACCGTAGTAACGTTAGAAGTAGCTCACCCTGCAATATTATTTAATTAGGATGTATATAATTTTGCACCAATGGTGCAGAATAAGTGCACAAAATAAGGATAACTCTATAATTTGGTTCCAATGGTGCATTATAATCGGAATATGTAGGTGTAGAATTTTAGGATTTTTTTGCATCAATAGTGTAGAATAATGCGACAAAATAAGGTTCATAATGATTTAGACAACTTTGCACCAAAGGTGCGGAATAAGCCGACAAAAGAGATCTTAATTTTTATATATTCTTGCACCAAGGGTGCAAAGGAAACGGAAAAATGAAAAAAGGGCGAATTAGTATGCACCACCTGCGCAGCATGTGGTGCCAATTAAATATTTAATATTGAAACCTTTATGTCAAAATTATATGACTCTTTCTCCCGGAGATTCTTCACTATTGGTGCGTGATACATCGCGTCCACCAATTATTTCGCATCATTTTGCGTTAGCGATTGTTAGATACCAACGGTGCTATTAATTTATTAAAAAATGGACCTGGTACATTTTAATTAGCATCAATTGATACAAAAAAGTCGTTAACAGACAGACGGACAGACGGACAGACGGACAAGAGGAATTCAATAGGGCGAGCTAATAAACGGGGAATAACAGAAATTTGATATAATGTTGCACCAATGGTGCAGCCAAAATGGTTAAAATTGTGACTAAATTTTGACACGATTTCAAGGTTAAGATATGTCTGGCAGGGCTAACTAGAACTTTCAGTCAATCATAACCATTGGTGCGGAGTACATCGATTCCTCCAATTATTTCGCACCACTTTGCTTTAACGATTGTTAGCCGTAGTAATGTTAGAAGTAGCTCACCCTGTCATGATGATTAGACAGAACTTTGCATCGAAGGTGCGGAATAAGCCGGCAAAATAGATCATAAATCGTATATATTCTTGCACCCATCGTGCAATAAAAACGGCTAGCCGTTGCACCATTACTGCAGCATTAGCGACGATCCGGGCGACATAATTTTGAAAACTTTGTCAAAATTGTATGACCATTTCTCCCGGATATTTTGCACTATTGGTGGGTTTTACATCCCTTCTCCCAATTATTTCGCATCATTTTGTGTTACCGATTGTTAGATATCAACGGTGCTATTAATTTATTAAAAAATTCGATTCGGTTTGTTCAATACCAATGGTGCGTCTAACTTATTCAATAATGGTCAAGGGGATTTTTAAATAGCATCAATTGATGCAGAAAACTCGTTAACAGACGGACAGACAGACGGTCGGACAGACAGACGGACGGACAGACAGACGGACGGACAGACGGACAAGAGGAATTCAATAGCTCTCATGCTACGCAGGGTGAGCTAATAATTAAAAAAAAAATTCATGAGATAAGAAAGTTGAACTCCTGTCATGATTTTTGCCAAATATTTTAAAAATCTGTCCAATATTTCAATATGGCGGTTTTAAAAATAAAAACATTCAATTTTGGCGAATGTGGCGCCACGGCACGGCGCCAAATATAAGTTTTACACGTAAATAAGAATGAATCCTTCATCTAGGGCCCTAGTAGATTGTTAAAAACATGGTGGGTACCCTGGGCGCGACCGGCACCTTGGAGGTTTCCCTTGTTAGTCACGGCGTGGAAATAACCCGCTATCAGTTCGGTGCAAATTGAGTCACCAATCCCAAACACCACGGCGACAACAGTGTCACATCGATCATCCCGAATTTCTTGGAGTGTACTTAAACTTCATGTCGAAAATTACGTTATAGTCCATTGAACAAATCGATTAATCACCAATACACTTGTTGTTATTATGCACAACTTTCGGTTAATTGGGACCAATTATTCTTGTATGCTTTCGCATGTATCCATTTGACGGAAAAATAGCCATATATTTACCAACCCACGCGCAAAGATTACATTGGTTATGGTGATGTCAAAAGCGGGGGTACACACATAAAACTAAAAATGAAAATATGTAAATGCAAATTTCAGAATTTTTTTATTTGGCAGGTGTCCAGCAGACTAAATTCGAGAAACATATATTACGTACATAATTAGGTACATATGTAAATATATTAACATAATTAATCTTCTACATACATACAATGGAACTTTTTATTTTCGTGAACTACTTATGTACAATTAGACTTGCTGCATAACACCTGCCATTCTGGCTTCATCGGTTTTTTCACCGGCACCACCTAATCCAAATCGTTCACAATGTTTTCAAGCCTGCCAACTACTTCATCTAGAATGTTCGAAAGATCTGACTCCGAACAGACGCATCGCTGGGTGATTATATTGCAGTTGTAGGAATTTGCACCGCAAGGATTGCTGACATGACCACATTGATTATTACTGCAACGATCCGGACTTGATGGACCTAATACATAGAAAAGAATTGAAAAATTATCATACAATAAAGACACAAATAAAAAATAAATAAAACAAAAAAATATGCACGTGGTCTGACAATGTCAGTCATCTCTTTATGAGCTTTTTCATGAATGCACATTTTTTCGCCTTTGGTCGAATTAAGAAAAAATTCAACCAAAATCTAGATTTTTGAAAACGCTGATACTTTTCGAATTGTCGTCCGATTTCAAAAATTAAACAAATTTTCCACAGAATAACTTCTTTGAAGTTATAAAAATCCATTGAATTTTTTTAAACTTCATATTTTAATGCTATGTCTGAATATTACAAACGCAAGCAATGTTAATTTTATGAAAATAAAAGTGAATTTTAATAAGGTCAGGGAAGTAAATCTGATCTAAAATTGTGTCTAATTTTTGAAATTGAGTTAAAATTCGATAAGTGACAGCCTTTTGCAAAACCAGATTTTAGACGAATTTTCTATTTATTTTTATTTCACCACTTGCGGAAACATGGGCATTCTGGAAAACGAAAAAGGGCAGGTGGTTTTATTTCTGAGCGTGAACAGTTTAAAAGTTTCCCGGTCAAAATCGGTGATAACCACCCTACACCTCTCCCTTATCAGATTGTGGCATGAGCTGTGAGCTGTGAGGCTTCTTTTTGAAAACTGGAAAGGCTGAGGCCTCAGGTCCTCAACTTGAGGTCGAGGTCGGGGCCTTGAAATTTTCCGCCGAGGCCAGTGAGGCTGACAATGAGCCTAATGTTTTTGAAATTGGAAAAACCGAGACCGACCTCACTGAGATCTAAGATTCCCGATCTGAGGCCTTAAGCTTTCTCAGAGGAAAGCTAAGGTCATGTAGGCCTTTTTTCCTTTAATCTATTTTTTTAGTGTTACTTGATGAAAACCAGTCATTAAATTGTACTGATCAAGGAATAACATGTGAATAAATGACTATTAATTAATCAATCAATCAAGAGGCTAAGGCCGAAAAGTCAAAAGTGCAAATCAATAATCAAAACTCAAAGTAAAAATTAAGAAACCTGACTTAAATTATCAAAATAAACACATTATTTAAAAATTTGGACGCATTTTGACGCGTGAGGTTTTATCATTATATTATTGCTAGAATTTCATGGGCTAATCCTAAGTATATCCAAAATCCCTTTTAGACTTAAAATGGGGTTTAAGGTAGAATTATCGGATCGCATGAATAACATTTAAAATTGGGAAAAACTTCGATGCATTTCATTAGACGGGTGAGAATTTGACAACGGGGAATTGATAAAGCGGGGAACTTGTTGGGTGAGAATCGATGGGGGGGAATCGATGACGGGGAATTGATGGGCGTAAAAATGCACAGTACCGTGGCATGTGTGTACATTTTACAAGCGATCTCTTTACAAATTGTTTTTAGAATTTATACCAGTACGTCATCGCAAACCAAAATATCCATTAGCATAGCAATCGTCTGCGTTGTACTCAAAATACCCTTACTTTCTTACAACTAGGTGCCAAGAACCCAGTACAAAAACTCATTTATTTACCAATGACTTATTAACTAAAAATGATTTAAGAAATATTTTTTTACCAGACGGAATACAGTTACCAAATTCAGCAAAAGTCCCCGCGATGATTAGAATTGCGAAAAATTTCATCCTACAGCGAGTTTAAAGCAAGATATACATACATAAGCAATCAATTGAAGAATATCGAATAATTCCGAATCTTGGGATGGGTCTGTATTTATGCACGATTCCTACTTGGTATTTACGTCATGGAAATGAACTCTGCGTCAATCTAGCAACGCAAAATTGAATGTCAGAGCAAGAGAACGTGCTTAATTGAATTCAAATAGAAAAATTACCTCCCACAATTCCACCAAAATTTCGTAATAAATATTTATTAAGTTAAGTAAACCCTCACATAATTAATATATGCGGTTGCTCAAAGATTTTCGAGTTGAGATTAAATAATAAATTGCACATATGTACAATGCGAACAAAATTACTCGTAAATATGTATCATGTGCAAATAAATTAGTGTATTTTTTATTCATGAAGAAAACCTGATTCTCATTAGTGTAGGAGGTATAAATATTTATTAAGTTAGGTAAGATAAAGATTAATATGACTGAAATCTATAAATTAAATAATACTCACGTTCTACCCTGAATTGATTTCAGAATTCAGAATTTTATACATGGGATGATCAGACAGTGATTGCTGTTTGGTTGATTGGGTTGGCTAAGTACAAAAACAATTTAATACATTTCTAAAACTGAGTAATTATGGTTAATTACTACACTCTAAACAAAAATGAGCAAAATTTATCCAAAGTTGTGTAAAATTTGCCCAATGTTGGGCAAATTTTACCTTTTTGTTGTGTCATCCTCTTTTTTACCCAACCTTGGGTAAATTTTACTCATTTTTATTTAGAGTGTACATAATTACTAATTTCTAATTACTTGATTAGCGTGTGTCATATTTAATTATACATATGGAAATATGTACAATTTGACTGCGATAATTGCTAACAATTATCGCAAAAAACTTGTCAGCAGCTACTGACAATTTTTTCAAGCTCATCTTAATAAGCAGCCTAGTGATTTACAATTTTTCTACTACAAAAGTCCATAAATCTCCATTAGTTCAAAGGATTTGGAGTCGAGATTATATTGAATCTTCAGGTCTGCTGATGTCAAAACTTATAGCAAAATTTTCAAAATGATAAAATTCCGAGGCAAGCTTCGCTAGCCGATGGAAATTAACAAATTTTTCCGGTTTAGAAATTTTCCACAGTGGCGAGGTTTGTTGTGATTTTTTAATGTTACCGGACAATTTTTTTAACCCTGCAAACGAATTATTTGAAAATTGTTCAGGAACTCTTATATTGACGAAACCATTATAATTACGCAGCATTAGATAAATTATTAAACACGTGTTTCAGGATCTTTCATAATGTTCAACTTAAACAAAATTATGACGGAATCCGTGAGCGAGAATTTCCATTTTTATCAGGACATTTTTCTCGCGAATGAGAAAAACACAGATTCTCGCTTCTGAATTCCATAAATTCGTTTCAGTACAACATATTTATTTTCATACTAACAGGATTTTTCATAAATAAATTAACTAGCCAACATATCTATCAAGAATGTGATGATAAAATACATTAACAATTTTTTTAAATAGTACATACAAAACGTTAAAGTTGCCAGTAATTATATAGGCAACGAGCGGCAGATATTACGGAATTCTATCCGTGAAAATTATTTATCAACTATTATTTATGAATTTTTACAGCTTCTCGTTTTCTTTTTCTTCATATCTGCAGCCGGTATGCTAAAGTAATGGTTATTTACATATTTGTAATTTGGGAATGATCCCGTACACTTAGCGCTTCGAAACTCCGCTCGCAATTGTATAAACTAATTAGAGAATAATCGCTCGTCGCCGATTTTTAAGGTCGCCGACAAGTCAAAGGTCAGAATTTTCTTAGCACTACAAAATGAGAGCCCAAAAACAAAAGTCCATGGATAATTTTTTTTTGACTTTTTAATATTTTTTATTATAATAGTATGATCAATGCTAAAATTATTCTATAACCGATTATGTACAAAGTTCGTTTATGTGGAAGGGTGTTTACACAATAAACACTACACGATATTGGCCTTATCCAAAATACGTTTAAGTAAATCTATCTAGAACCTATCGCTGTAATTCCTATCGCGTTGCATCTGCATAAAAGTAAGATGCTCCTGTTTTTGCAACTTCCAAATTTTATGATCATATTCCCTCCGTTGTTCCTTCATATTATTCACCAAAGCTAGATTGGTCTTTGTCACAGCTTCAACCTCAGCCTCCAGCTTCTTCCTGTGACCTTGTTGTTCCTTCACCTCTTCCTGCGTCTTCTCTAACTTCCTCTTCGCCTTGGCTGCCTTCAAGTTGGCGCGGTTAATGGACAGATACGTTTCCAAAAGGCGTTCTGACTCTGGAGTGAATTCTTCGCTAAATTTGGGATCCATTTTCGCTCCGCCCAATTTTGATTTGCTTTGATAAATGACGAAAGATTCTCTTATCAGGTCCGAGTGTCGCGAGGTCAGTGCGGAAGGGCGCACACCGGCGGGATTTTCCTTGAGAAATTTTTGCATTTCATCTGTATAGAACGTTGAGGCCGACTGTTTCGCGATGATGAATTGGCTCTCGGCGACGGACTGGTAGACTCTCTTGATTTCTGGGAGGTCATTCCCTTCAAACAAAGGTGCCCAGGAGTGGACGTATTTGATCATTTCGGACCCAGTGACCTCAACGCCACCAATTTTTTTGGTGACGAGATGACCTGGGGACAGCATGAGGGGGACGAAGGCGCCGACATGAGATGCAAATTCAGGATCGAGATTGTCCAGTTTGTCGTGTTGTTTGAATCCCTTGTCAGGTTCGGGCATCAAATAAACGCCGACATCCTGCGGAAAAATTAATTTTTGTTAGATTTAAATATACCTCAAAATTTTTGTGTTCAGTTTCCCAGAATAATTTGCACATTTACTTAAATATGCAACTCAGTTTTATAACGACTTGCATGTATGTATACAAGAACTCGGGTTTTACTAGATTGAGGTTTTTCGGGTTTTTTCTTCTAAAATTCAGTAATTTAAGTTAATTACGTTGTTTGACTGATTTTATTCAATACTTTGCTCCCAGTAAAACTCAATAAATTCAAACAATGCCCGAATAAAATTCCAGTAACACAAACCAAGAAAAACACGGTGGTGCCTCAGAATATAATACCAGGAGTTTTTCTAACCATGAATATTTAAATACCTGCATACCTTGTAGCTTTTGAGCAGTTGGTCATGCGTCAATCTCATTTCCGTCGGCTGATCAGGGTTGGAGTCCAACTTGTCCTTCTTATAGTTCCCCTGCTGTTCGTTAGGTACGTGGTTGTCGTCGTAAAATCCGAACTGGTAGTATTCGAGAAATTGAAAATCTCTGACGAGGAAGAGAAGTTTCTGGTAGGCGCCGTCTCCCAGCTCTCCACTCGCCGCGTTTCCCTCAAATTCCGGGACCGTCAAGGTAGCAAAGCTCGAAAAGAATTGAACAAACTTTAGCACGTCTTCGCCTACGTCGCGGATGACGTTGAAGATGAGGACGGACGAGAGGAGGGTCGCGATGGCGAAAATGATGGCGTTCTCCTGCATCGTGGTGTGGTCGTCGAATGAGCCTTGCGTGTCCATGAGGACAATGGCGACTCGGCGCCCGTTATGCGTCGTCCAAAACGGCTCCGACCAAAGGTCAATTCCAACCGTTATACGGTCAGTTCCGCCTAAGAAATGAGTTTGACTCAAATTAATGACCTCATGGCTTTTACTTAAAATATGCTGGTCATTAATAGTAAATGATTGGTATAATTGCACGGTATTTAATTTAACCGCATGCACCTCTACAGTTTTAATCGTAAAAATTGCTACATCTCCACTCACCCCTCCATTCAAAATTAGCCATATTTTTGGCATTCAAAATCCAGTTATTCCCCTGACTGCCGTCGTGGTTGAGATAGCGAATAAAATTGGAAAGCATGAAACTTTTTCCTGTACGTGTGGGCCCATTGATCGAGTAAACTGCGAAATAATTTTCCCCAATCTTCTCAAAGATGGATTTTGTTGCGTTTGTGTTAATGGAGATCTTGTCCTTGGTCACCTTCAGGATGGAGACCAGCTTTCCACCAGGACCCATTTTAGAACCTAAAATATTACACAAATTTAAACAGCATTTTCTGCATTGGTACACCAAATCAGACAAAAAACTGTTATGAATCGTCAAAAAAATTGTAACACCGTTACAATTTTATGTAGCAAAATTTCTCTCACTAAACTATATTTACCGACATATTTCCGCTCCGACTTGGCCTGCGACTGGAGAGGGAACATAAAAGAGGAAAGTAAAAATAACGACGAATACCCTCACTGCAACCCAAGGTACAAATTTGTAGAAATAGCTTGCTTACGAGCGTGAGAAGGTTTTCCACTGATTCAGCACTTACTTCCACATCACATCTGTCAATTAACATGATTTTGTCGATTTCTTTAATTCTATCTTGTGGGTGTCTTTTCGTTAGGGAAATAATGGTATTTTCCCAGTCTCGAAACCACCAAGCTGAACGCTTAACAATACTAGTTTCTGTATCATGCACCAGCCTGTAGAACATTGATCTTGTATCTTTCCGTTTGATTTGCTGTACAACTTCCCAAGACACTAAACCAAAAGAGTACAAATCTGCGGGGATACCGTAATTCGCAGAATTAGCTTCAGGTGCACGATATATGATATTTCCTATTTCGGGAGTTAGTGTTTTAGTGGCAGTTTCCTCACTATGGATCTGTCGACATAGACCAAAATCTCCCACTTTAACGGGAAATACGAACTCTTCATCTTGACTTAATGAAAACAGTATGTTTTCAGGACGAAAATCTCGATGTATAATGTTATGACCGTGGAGATATTTTAGCCCTTCACACATGTCCTTTACAATTCGATTTCGAACCGGGTGCAGTTCTGGGTTGTCCGTCTCATTATTTATGTTCAACCACTGACGCAACGTCTTACCACAGAGCTCCATTTGGATGCATAAGGACGGAATGTGGGTTCCTCGTTGAGCTCGAAGATAGAAGATTTGAAATTGGTCCAAAATTTTGTAATTGTTTTGAAGGCACGGTATTTTCAGCAAGACG